TGGGCTTAAATCTGTCGTCTTTTTTTTTTTTTATTTCTCCCATTTGTTTTTTTTTTCCCACTCCCCTTTTTCTATTTTGTTTTGTTTTATTTGAGTGGGGTTGTGTTGTTGTTTCCATTTTATTCCCTTGTTAGCTTGTTAGATGTTCCTTATTTATTTATTTAGGTTGCTTTAAAGTTTATTATATGTTTTTTTTTTTCTTTCTTTTCTTTTTGAGAAAGGGTCTCACTCAGTTGCCCAGGCTGGAGTGCAGTGGCACTATATTTTGGCTCACTGCAGCCTTGAACTCCTGAGCTCAAGCAGTCCTTTTGCCTCAGCCTCCGGAGTAGCTGGGACTACAGGCATGTGTCATGACACTGGACTAATTTTTCAGTTTTTTTGGTAGAGATGTGATCTTACTGTGTTCCACAGGCTGGTCTTGAGCTCCTGCCTTGGCCTCCCAAAGTACAGGGATTGCAGGTGTGAGTCCCTGCGCCTAGCCTATTGTATGCATTTTTAACTTATCACAGCCTACCTTTGATTTTTATATGTCCTATGAGAAATCACAACAATAGATTTCCCTTCTCCTGGCCTTTTTGCTATTGTCATTTTACTTCTACATGCTATACATGTTATAAACCCACAATACCTTGTTGTTATTTTTGCTTTATTTTTATTTTATTTATTTATTTAAGTTGGAGTCTCACTCTGTCGCCCAGGCTGGAGTGCAGTGGCATGCTCGTGGCCACCCCAGTATCAACTTTCTGGGTCCCGGCGATCCTTCTGCCTCAGCCTTCCAAGTAGCCAGAACTATAGGCGCGCACTATCATGTCTGGCTAATTTTTAAATTTATTTTAGAGACAAAGTCTCGCCAAGTTGCCTGAGCTGGTCTTGAACCCACGGGCTCAGACAATCCACTAGCCTTGTCCTCCCAAAGTACTGGGATTATAGGCTGAGTCACCTATCCTGGCCTATTTATTTATTTTTAAAGACAGGATCTCATTCTATTGTCCAGGCAGTAGCATGATTAAGCTCACTGTAACCTCCAGCTCATGGGCTCAAGGGATCTTCCCACCTCAGCGTCTTGGGTAACTAGAACTACAGATGAGCACCACCACGCCTGACTAATTAAAATTTTTTTTTCTAGAGACAGAGTCTCACTATGTTGCTGAAGCTGGTCTCAAACTTCTGGACTTGAGCAGTCCTCCCATTTCAGCCTTTTTAATAGCTGCGAGTACAGGCACCCGCCACTGTGCTAGCGCAGTCTTTTTTTTCCCTCCTAATTGCTTTTTCATTTGAGATCATTTTTATTGCCATGAATTTAAGTTTGCTAAACTTGCTTTTGTGGTGCCTAATCTGTTATTATTTCAGGTACACAGATACATTTGTATTTAATTTAGACATTATATTTTTCATCTCTAGAAGTTTGATTTAGGTCTTGGATTTTTTTCTGTCATCTATGTCTCTACTTAATATGCTCTGTCTTTCTTCTACCCTCTTGAACATACTGTTTTAATGTCCTTTTCTATTAATCCTATCATCTCTGTCATTTCTAAATGTTTCTGTTTATTGGTTTTTCTCATTATGGGTCATATTTCCTGCCTTTTTGCTTGTCTGGTAGTTTTTATTGGTTGCCAGACTTTGTGAATTTTACTGTTTTGTGAGCTGGATGTTTTTGCATTTGCATAAATATTCTTGAGCTTTATTCTGGGATGCAGGCAAGTTACTTGAAAACAATTTGACTCTTTCAGGCTTTTGAGAAGCTTTGTTAGGTGGATCCAGAGCAGTCTTTAGGGATAATTTTTTACAAGTGAATAATACCTTTCCAAGTACTCTATCCAAAGTCCCACATGTTATGAGGATTTCTACTCTGGCTAGTGGAAACAAACTATTCCTACCCCATAGAAGCTTTGAGGATTGTTCCGTCTGCTGCGTTTAGGTGGTTCTTTTTCCATTCTCAGTAGTTACCTCACATGCATATTCTAACCATTGCTTTGCCTCCTTGAATTCCAGTTCTTTGATCTCAAGTCAGGGAGGCTGGTAGGATGTTTCTGCATTTCTCCTTTACCCTGTGGCCTGAAAACTCTCTGATCTAGCTATCAGTTGGGGATATTGTACGACTTGCCCTTATTTGTCTTGTTTGTTTCTCCTTTCTAAGTAATCAGAGTTTCTGAAAACCCTTGTTTCATATATTTTGTTCAGTGTTTTAGTAATTTCAGGCAGGAAGGTAAATTTAGTCCCTTTTATTCAAGGTGGCTAAAACAGCCACACTCTTCTCCCCCTTGTCCCCCCCCCCCCCC